AATAGAGGTCCAATCGTGGTAATGGTAAGAAATGTATACGACTTAATGGACCGAAACACTTCTTACCATTATAATAATCTCACAAATTTTCTAATTTTCATTCCTTACCTTCTTTTTCCTTTTTCCTCTTTATTTCATTCCTTTTTAATTTTCAATCACTGCTTATGACGAGAAAGGCCTTGTTTGTACAAAACTCCTTGAATAGTGCTAACCTTAAGACAAAAAGTTTGTCCAGTTTTCAGCTCCTTCAAAAGCTCCCTATCATTCGGCGACATCATATCACCTTGTTCCAACATGCCTGAAAGTTCGCTGATAAAAATCAACAGGACTAGTAATCCTTTCAAGATACGAAGCGAACATATAGGTGGCCGGCTCCAGGTAGACCACCGAGCGTTGTAGTACTGCCCAAAACAGCGAAAAAGTTATCAGCTGCACAGCTGGAAAATCAAATTTGGAATTAATCTAGGTACAAGAAGTGGGTAAATTCTCCTTTCTATCCAGTAATCTATTTTTCACTTTCCTTTCTCTTTCTACTACTTTTTCACCTCTTTTTCTTCCCTGCCCCACTTAATTTTCACTCCCAACCGTTACAGGTGACGAGGCTCAGTTGCGGGGTGCTGAAAAAAAGAAATGTATGCAACTTAATGGACCGAAACATTCCAATTTTCAAATTTTTAATATATAAATTAATCTACTCATTTTTATGCTTTTTTTTTTTTCATCTATGTAATGCAAAGTGATTCACAGAGTCTAGGCTAACCCTGGAAGTAGGAAATAAGAAGTGAGGTGAGACGTTTCGGTTCATTATGTCACATACGTCTTAACTCAACACGGCGGCTGGACCTCGTCAGTATGACGGTCGCAAAAACGCATATTGTCGAGGGGTTGTTTGTGTGCTTGCATGTGCGTCTGTACCGATTTCTCTTTTTTACACAATAAGTAGTAATTGGCAATTGAAAGTGAACGACACTGGTGGAGAAAAAAGAGCACGAATCCACAGGAATATTAATACATGGCGAAAATCTTGGTTGTACAAAAAATTAAACAAAATCCCCCCCCCCCTACCAGTCTTACTCCCCGCCCCAATTCCATAGGACTGTTTGTTGACAAAAATCAACAATGTACACGTCAAATAAACAAAAAATTCCTCCCCACCCACAATCATCTCTGACCTTTTATTCCATATTCTTCAAAAATATTACAGTATTTTACTTATTAATTTACCTTACCTCGCCCCGCCCCCCCCCCCTCTTTTCCTCTCTTCTTCT